AATTTGTTCTGAACTATGGTGAGATAACAAACTTAGTTCTGGGTAAGGTAACAATCAGGGCCAAATTATAGGATTCAAGCATACAGTAATATAGCCTGTATTTATCAGTACTGCATGTTCAAATTAAGTAGGTCATTTAAAATATAAAAACACTAATTGTTGGATTAGAGTGAAAATATCTTGCATGAAGACAAAGGCTCCAGCCGGGGCAGCCCGTATTTTGACACTAAACAAAAATCTTGGATTTAAATCCAGTAATAAGATTCCAGACTAAGCTGATCAAAAAAGATCAGATTCGCCGCTCATAAAAGCATGACAACATGGGTGTATAGCCACTTACTGCACTGATTAAGCTTACAGATGACATGATAGCGCTATATTGAACTATATTTGTTTATATATATTTGTTTATTTGTTTATATCACTGAAAAGCCCTAGCCAGGAACAGTAGCATGTCTTTTGCTGGCTCACTTCTTCGTAACCTATGGTTCATCAGGAGTTCAGCTAAATCTTGATCATTGATCATTATAAGATGTCAAGTTATAGGAAAATGATTGGAAAATGCACAAATGTGCAATAAGTATCTTTTCTTTTAATATAAATGGAACTTTTGAACCTGCAGGTCACGGTAAAGTCAGTTGCAGAGATTTTGTTTCAGCAAGTGCTGTCTCGCTTTTCAAACCACATTAAAGGAAGATGCAAATTCTCTGGAATTTCACTTTATTGCTCTCTTGATTGATTCTGTTCTTCAAATGCTTTCTTCAGGGGTGACATATAATCAGTGTTGGGGAAAGTTACTTTTAAAAGTAATGCATTACAATATTGCGTTACTCCATAAAAAAGTAACTAATTACGGTACTTAGTTACTTTTTATGGAAAGTAATGCGTTACGTTACTTTTGCGTTACTTTTTAAATCTGGACAGGGCTTGCTTGTTTGTTTTTAAAATAAAAAAGTTATATTTTTGGCAAATATAAAAGCCTTTTCACACCAAAAGGGAAATGAATAAGCCTCAGGCTGAAGGGAAAGTACATTTACGTCCGTACAGTAGAATGCAGAAGAAGACATTTCAACACACTTCAGCAATAAAAAAAAACACACAAATGTTTGTCTAGAGTTATTTTTGCTTATTAGTATGATTGAACTGAATCATCAAAGACATTGTTTAATAGAACGGGATTAAATACATAAAGGATATTTGTGTTGTTTAACATTTAATTATTGCAGGTTTGTGTTATTTCTGAGTTGCATTATTTTTATTCATTTTGAGGAATACTGAATCTGTGTTTTTTTGTGAGTGAGATGAATTAATGCATATTCATATTTATTTTAGAACTACAGTAACATCTTCTGATTTCTCTTAACATGGGGACACCAGAGCTGTCAATCAATAAATTGAAAAAAAGTAACTTGCATTACTTTTTTGAAAAAGTAACTCAGATATTCTCTTGTAAATTAAAAAGTAATGCGTTACTTTACTAGTTACTTGAAAAAAGTAATCTGATTACGTAACTCGCGTTACTTGTAATGCGTTACCCCCAACACTGCATATAATTTGTGTGCAAGTGGACCATGTGTATAATTAATATCTTTTTTTAACTAAATGCAGGCAGGGGAAATGTTTAATGTTTCCATTTGCATTTATTTATGTATGCCTAAAAATACAGTTTACATAAAACATCCTAGTTTATGCAAAATTCCAACCAAACCAATTTACAGTAACAACCAATGGATCCTCTGCAGTGAATGTGTGCCATCAGAATGAGAGTCCAAACAGCTAAAAAGAACATCACAATAATCCAAAAGTAATCCACACAACTCCAGTCCATCGATGAATGCCTTGTGAAGTGAAAATCTACAAATTTTCAAAACAAATATGTCTTATGATTATGATGATGTCTTGTGATTTTGATGTGAAAACACAAGGGATGGATTTTTTCACGGAAGGAAGCATTTTTATGGATTACCGATTCGTATTTTGGCCAGAAGCAACGGTTTAAAGTTAAAATGCCTTGATTTATTTCTTACAAACATGTAGCATTTCACTTCAAAAGACGCTAATTAACAGACTGCAGTAGTGTGAATGCCTGGACTCTTGTGATGTTTTTATCAGCTGTTTGGACTCTCATTCTGATGGCACCCATTCACTGCAGAGCATTCATTTGTGAGCAAGTGATGTAATGCTAAATTTCTCCAAATCTATTCTAGTGAAGAAACAAACTACATCTTGAATGGCAAGAGAGGGTGAGTATATTTTCATTAATTTTAAATTTTTGGGCGAACTATTCATTTAAGAAGAACCAATCATGGACCATTCCCATTTGCATCATCTTTGGCTACATGCAATCACATGTACAATATGTGCATAAGTATTCCACATGACACTAATTCATTCTTATCTATTTCATATTCATGCAGTTGTCTATTTGTTTATATGAGAAAACATGATAGTTGAATATCTCATTATCTTTCTCGGCTTTATTCCATTTCTTGTTTTTCTGTACAAAACATTCAGTCGTTTTCTCTACTGTGCTCAAAGAGATCTTTACCCTGAGCTGCATGTGCACACGGAAGCATCTCATCATGTTAGCTGGAAGAATAATGAAACGTATTCTTGTCATATTCAGAAAAACTTTCCTCCCATTCATTTAATCCATTCTTACTTTCTGCTATATTTCATCACTCCACATCTGCTTCATCCTCGTCAGCTCCAGGGCCACATTCCTTCTCTGGCAGCAGTCCATACTCATTGAGGAAGGCCTCTACATCGGTAGCAAAGAACTCCTCGCTGAAATGCTGCGTAACAGTCAGGAAGTTCCCCAGAAGCTCTCCAGCCTTGTACACTAACAAGGCGGGCAGCACATCATCTGAGAAACGCTCCCCAGCTCCAGTGGCGGCGGCGCTAATGCGGCAGAATTTAACGCTGGGATATTCTGTGGCCAGGCAATCCATGCAACTGTTAAGCACCTCGCACCCCTGCACTCCATCATTGAAGATGTGCACCACCACCACTGTGAGCCGGTGCTCCTTCTCAATGACCTCCAGGAAGGCCTCGCCACTGTCAAGGTCGTACACACCCTCAAATTTGGGCCCGAAGCTCAGGCTCTCATGCATCTCCTCCATGCATTGCTTGCGGTACTTACGCAGACTTTTCTCATCATCTTCCTTTATCAGCTCATACTCCTGAGCGCTCATCTGGGAAGTGAAAAAAAAAGCAGGAAAATTCAACGCTTTTAAGGCCAATGCAGATTTTTGGGAGAGACAACTGCATTTAAATTTGGAAGTTAATCCATTAAATCATGTTTTGATGTCAAAGACCCGCCAAACATGATGACCTCTTTTGAGGAACTCAATAAAAATAATATGCATGATGTAAAGAAAATATACTGTTTCTGAAATTAAACAACTGGCTTTTATATGGTCATTGTACTGAATAGTCGATAAATATATTTTAACACAAATTTTAACAGATTTTTTTTTAAAATTACATTTTATAAAAATATTTGTCACCTCTATGTAGTCCATAGCCATAGCGGATCCCTGAACCTCAGTTTGCAACCTCTAAATTCTTTATATGCGTACAGAATATATAACTATATAGCAATGTTTTAGTATAGTTTGGTGTTAGTTACTTTTGACCAAAGTAATATTATACATAGAGACTTATCATACATTTTTGGAATGCACTTGCAGTCTAATTTAGAAAAGCATTGTTTTTCTTCAAAGAGCTCATTTTTATTTTGAAATCATGGTCAGATGAGGCAACCTTGCGATTGAATCCACCCACACAGGAGTCTCTGGGTTTGTGGGGGGACGACATCTGTCTTAGAAGCTCCCTCTTGTTGGGAGGCAGAGCCTCCTGGTCCATGCTCTCCAGTTTAAATTTACGCCAGTCATTGATGACACCCTTTGGTCCTAGAGATACCATAAGTGAATGAATAGAGGGATTAAATACATAAAGGATATTTGTGTTGTTTAACATTTAATTATTGCAGGTTTGTGTTATTTCTGAGTTGCATTATTTTTATTCATTTTGAGGAATACTGAATCTGTGTTTTTTTGTGAGTGAGATGAATTAATGCATATTCATATTTATTTTAGAACTACAGTAACATCTTCTGATTTCTCTTAACATGGGGACACCAGAGCTGTCAATCAATAAATTGAAAAAAAGTAACTTGCATTACTTTTTTGAAAAAGTAACTCAGATATTCTCTTGTAAATTAAAAAGTAATGCGTTACTTTACTAGTTACTTGAAAAAAGTAATCTGATTACGTAACTCGCGTTACTTGTAATGCGTTACCCCCAACACTGCATATAATTTGTGTGCAAGTGGACCATGTGTATAATTAATATCTTTTTTTAACTAAATGCAGGCAGGGGAAATGTTTAATGTTTCCATTTGCATTTATTTATGTATGCCTAAAAATACAGTTTACATAAAACATCCTAGTTTATGCAAAATTCCAACCAAACCAATTTACAGTAACAACCAATGGATCCTCTGCAGTGAATGTGTGCCATCAGAATGAGAGTCCAAACAGCTAAAAAGAACATCACAATAATCCAAAAGTAATCCACACAACTCCAGTCCATCGATGAATGCCTTGTGAAGTGAAAATCTACAAATTTTCAAAACAAATATGTCTTATGATTATGATGATGTCTTGTGATTTTGATGTGAAAACACAAGGGATGGATTTTTTCACGGAAGGAAGCATTTTTATGGATTACCGATTCGTATTTTGGCCAGAAGCAACGGTTTAAAGTTAAAATGCCTTGATTTATTTCTTACAAACATGTAGCATTTCACTTCAAAAGACGCTAATTAACAGACTGCAGTAGTGTGAATGCCTGGACTCTTGTGATGTTTTTATCAGCTGTTTGGACTCTCATTCTGATGGCACCCATTCACTGCAGAGCATTCATTTGTGAGCAAGTGATGTAATGCTAAATTTCTCCAAATCTATTCTAGTGAAGAAACAAACTACATCTTGAATGGCAAGAGAGGGTGAGTATATTTTCATTAATTTTAAATTTTTGGGCGAACTATTCATTTAAGAAGAACCAATCATGGACCATTCCCATTTGCATCATCTTTGGCTACATGCAATCACATGTACAATATGTGCATAAGTATTCCACATGACACTAATTCATTCTTATCTATTTCATATTCATGCAGTTGTCTATTTGTTTATATGAGAAAACATGATAGTTGAATATCTCATTATCTTTCTCGGCTTTATTCCATTTCTTGTTTTTCTGTACAAAACATTCAGTCGTTTTCTCTACTGTGCTCAAAGAGATCTTTACCCTGAGCTGCATGTGCACACGGAAGCATCTCATCATGTTAGCTGGAAGAATAATGAAACGTATTCTTGTCATATTCAGAAAAACTTTCCTCCCATTCATTTAATCCATTCTTACTTTCTGCTATATTTCATCACTCCACATCTGCTTCATCCTCGTCAGCTCCAGGGCCACATTCCTTCTCTGGCAGCAGTCCATACTCATTGAGGAAGGCCTCTACATCGGTAGCAAAGAACTCCTCGCTGAAATGCTGCGTAACAGTCAGGAAGTTCCCCAGAAGCTCTCCAGCCTTGTACACTAACAAGGCGGGCAGCACATCATCTGAGAAACGCTCCCCAGCTCCAGTGGCGGCGGCGCTAATGCGGCAGAATTTAACGCTGGGATATTCTGTGGCCAGGCAATCCATGCAACTGTTAAGCACCTCGCACCCCTGCACTCCATCATTGAAGATGTGCACCACCACCACTGTGAGCCGGTGCTCCTTCTCAATGACCTCCAGGAAGGCCTCGCCACTGTCAAGGTCGTACACACCCTCAAATTTGGGCCCGAAGCTCAGGCTCTCATGCATCTCCTCCATGCATTGCTTGCGGTACTTACGCAGACTTTTCTCATCATCTTCCTTTATCAGCTCATACTCCTGAGCGCTCATCTGGGAAGTGAAAAAAAAAGCAGGAAAATTCAACGCTTTTAAGGCCAATGCAGATTTTTGGGAGAGACAACTGCATTTAAATTTGGAAGTTAATCCATTAAATCATGTTTTGATGTCAAAGACCCGCCAAACATGATGACCTCTTTTGAGGAACTCAATAAAAATAATATGCATGATGTAAAGAAAATATACTGTTTCTGAAATTAAACAACTGGCTTTTATATGGTCATTGTACTGAATAGTCGATAAATATATTTTAACACAAATTTTAACAGATTTTTTTTTTAAATTACATTTTATAAAAATATTTGTCACCTCTATGTAGTCCATAGCCATAGCGGATCCCTGAACCTCAGTTTGCAACCTCTAAATTCTTTATATGCGTACAGAATATATAACTATATAGCAATGTTTTAGTATAGTTTGGTGTTAGTTACTTTTGACCAAAGTAATATTATACATAGAGACTTATCATACATTTTTGGAATGCACTTGCAGTCTAATTTAGAAAAGCATTGTTTTTCTTCAAAGAGCTCATTTTTATTTTGAAATCATGGTCAGATGAGGCAACCTTGCGATTGAATCCACCCACACAGGAGTCTCTGGGTTTGTGGGGGGACGACATCTGTCTTAGAAGCTCCCTCTTGTTGGGAGGCAGAGCCTCCTGGTCCATGCTCTCCAGTTTAAATTTACGCCAGTCATTGATGACACCCTTTGGTCCTAGAGATACCATAAGTGAATGAATAGATGAGTGAATTACATCAATACTTATACTGTAAAAAATGATTGCTGCAATTAATCACAACTTAAAATTCAACATTAGAATAAGTAATGATGTTTTGTTTGAAGTTTGTGCTTTACTTAAAATTATAAGTTTAGCTTAGTTTAGTTAAGTTGGATATTTAAGTTCAACAAATTTAATCTGTTATAAGTAATTGCAGCAAGCCAACCATAAATCAAAAGACAAGCAATAGCCTACCGTAGTTAGTTCACTTTCAGCAGTGGATGATATCAGTTCAGTTCAGGTCAGACATATTTTATAGAAATGTATTTTATCTCCAATTTGACTTATATGGGGGAAATGTCCAGACACTGATGTTGTTTCAAATTGTGTTCAGTAATTACAATTATAATCGGGCCTCAAAATTTCCTGGTTCCTATCTTAGGGTTGAATGTGTTTCTTTCATTTCTTCACAAGAACACCAAGTTGTTCACAATGGGAAGCTGGCAACCATAACGCAAGGATTCAGGCTTCGACCAACTCCTTTGACCAAAAATAGTTCCTTGAAGAACCCCTGAATTAATTTCAATCATTCAAAAGCACATTCGTAAGTTCATGCACATGGTTCGCTAATGTTGGTAAATGGTCATGTGGCATGCAGGCAAACAAATAATTTTTTTGTTGTTTTCTAGTAATTTTATGATTTAATTAATTAATTGCTTTTCATCAATTTGCAAACTCCAGTTTAGACCTTTCCGTCTTCATTCTGCATGCTCTTAATACATTAGATCACTTTCCCTATATGATCCATTCATTTTACAGTCTCACAAAACAATAAGAACCATACTGACCTGTGTGAGTGACAGCCGCTGGTTCCTCATCTACGATTCTGTCAGACATTTTTATTAGCTGATTATCTGTGGAAAAACGTTTTATAAATAAATAAAATTTTCTTTTGTTGCATTACTTTTTCAGGAAGGCAAGATACATTCAATCTTCATTTAATTCGAACAAGATATAGCATCAAAACTTCATTGAAATGTTGGCATGTGGACAGTGTCTCTGTGTCGCTGTACCTGATCGCTCTTTCTTGGAAGATATTAGGTTTACTAAGAGTAAGAAGATCAGATTACTCCTTGATCCAATTTATTTGCACAAGTGGGCGTCGTCGATATGATGTCATGGAATGACAAATTAACTGTCCTCAAATAATTTACAATATGCATAAATTACCATTTCAACCCAGACACTTTAAATCGCATTAAGTCAGTTTAATTGTCATTCTTTTTAACGCACATTTCTTTGATTCTATTTAATTCTACAAGCAATACCATTGCAAATGCATAAAACTTTATTATATACCACCTTAATGCCAACATTAAAATCAACAATGCAGAACATATTTGGTTGCGTTCAGGTCCGTCATTAAACTGATCTTTTTCATATGAGGTTGTTGAGACCGAGATCAGATAAAGCTCATGCTGCAGCAGATTAGCAGTTTAATACTAGAGCTCAGAGTCTTCATTTTGCCCCGCGAGCCTCTGGCCTCAAACCTCCTTCATTGTACCTTTCACTGCTCTCAGTAAATCACTGATCGCTAATTGAGATTACAGCTATGATGCAATGCCTCAGCTCAGATGGCAACCAAGGAAATCCTATATGACAGCTTTGGAGTTTGCCTCAGTTTTCTTTGTTATTTCTTTCAAATGTTGATGCTTGGTTTGTGCACACAGATTACTCTTACTGTACGCTTATTGTTTGAGAAAAATACTCTTTTAAAAGCATGGTATTATGAATAGTCTTCCATTTCAGTTTGGTTCTTGAAAAGTGGTGTTTTCGATTTGTATTTTTATAACAAAACAACAATATTTTCATGCAGTTACATGATTATGGCTTTGCTTTACTGCTTTTAGCTCCTTTGAGTCTTTATTCGTTTATCAAAGTCTTTTTGAATGTTTTTCATTCAATCTGATCTGAATCTTGAAGTCTTGTTGAATCATGCAAAATGATAAACATGGCATGAACTTTTGCATAGTTTTCTGAGATAAATATACCGTAGACAACACTACCGCTATCTACAGTACATCAAAGTATCTGAACAAACCACTTAATGCCAGCTCCAAGGTTTGATTTAGATTCATAGAAAAACAGGAATTATGCTGTCACTTTAGCATGCAAATCAAATCAAAGTAGACTTTGTTTCACGCAATCCATTCATCTGTAACATCACAGCTCATCAAAAGTATAATCAGGCCTATGATTAGGCTTTAGTTAAATAACGCTGCGACTCACTTAAAGCTGTAAAACATAACAAACAGGAAAAGATGCATTTAAGCATGAAGCTGAAATGTTCTGTAACTGCATGAGTAAATCAGTCTGGTCCCACAGAAACCTGTTAAATCAAACAGTTGCCTACTCACCTCTTTTACGGTCCGAATACGTCCCTTCAGTGAGCTGTTACGTGGTCACTATCACCATTAGCTTGTCCTTCATGCTTTTTTGAGTGTGCATGGGGAGGGCACAAAGAAGCTTTCTTAAGTCAAGACACATTGGACAACTCTGTGCTCCTATGCAGAAATAGCACAGGGCACTTAAGAGGATTTATGTGCAGTAATTAGACACTATTCAGAACACAACCAAAGACAAAGGTATACCATAGCTGTGAGAGGAGAGTGGTATACAAGATACTGAGAACATATGGGGAAGACGGGGATAATAGTTGAAAAATGTATGCTAACATGGAAGAAAAAAGTTTTGGTTTCTGACAAGCTACATCAGATCTGCTTGCTTGCAGAATCATTTATGTGCAGAGATTTGAGCAGTGTTAAACTGGCTAACAGTAAATTCAATCTTTAGACTGTATGGCTAATGATTTAAGTGTTTTTCTGTGCATAAGTTTAAAGTTCAGACTGAGTCAGCGTGTAACTCAGCAGTTGGTAAAAAGAATATCACTGGCATCTGATGGATGCCATCACAGGAGCAGATCACATTTTAAAATACAAAGTAGAAAACAGTTATTTTAAATTCTAATATTTAACAATATTACTGTATTTTTACTGTATTTTGAGCAGCCTTGGTACGCAAAAGAGACTTATTTGAATGGTAGTGTATATATTTACATTTACACATTTCAGTTTTTATTGAAATATGCATTGTAGTTACTAAATACTGAAAGGGTGGAGAGATGGATAGATAAATTAGGAGAATCTGGGTAAGGGAAAGAGAGAAAGAGAAAGAGAAAGAATGAGAGCGAGGAGATATAGCAGCACTGACTGGCACCGGCTCAGTGAATGTAAATGCACAGATGGTACATATACAGGATTGACCTCATTAGTGTGAAAACACTCATCTTTTCAGCCTAACTATTCCTCGCTGTATCCTTCCTGTGTATATCCTGACAACACAAACACAAACAAAAATGATTTACTTAAATTAACCCGTCACTTAATATGACATAATTTTACTGTTCTCAAACACACACACACACACACATTAAAAAAAACATAAATTTTCTCTTTTCATTATTAAAAAAAAAAAACAGATTTTGTCCATAAACATAAAATTATATGTACGTTTTCAAATTATGTTTTCATATTTTAAGAATTCAGTAAAATACGCAGATTTAATAAAATATGAAAATTGTGTTGAATTTACATGTTGCTCAAAAACTTTAAACATTTCGGTCTGATACAGCTCAGTGATTTTGGCCATAAAAATCTTTCAAATGGGTGAAGAAAAACTGTATATTTCTCATTTATTGGAAGCTAATGCTGACTTTCTAGGAAACTAAAAGTGGAAGTTGTGGTTAGGTTTTTACTATGGTGTAGCATGACATATCATTATGACTTTATACATTGTATGACTCAAGCTTTGTTTTTATAAAATTCTTTGAATTTAAACCACACAGTTTATTACGAAATCCTTACTGGAACTACAGTTAAGAGTTTCTTTCATTCTCCATTCCTTCCGTTTTTGCACTGAATGTCACAATGTTCCATGGAGGAATATGACTTGGAATAACTGTATAACTGTACCGCATCAGTCAACAGAGAAATAGGATTCTGTTTTAATAAAAAATGGTGCAATGCAATGGTGATACTATATGTACTTTCCTTTCTGTATTTGCTTTTTGTAGTGACATTAGTGCTGATCAAAGAGTGGTTTTGACAAACCTGAGGTGTGGGAGGTGAACTGCCAGTTATTAGTCATGTGAGGTAAAAGCGGATTTATTTTTCCTGCTCATGGATACACACCCATATCGGGATCACCAGCAGGTGAGTGTGTGCCTGCCACCCCCTCTCAGTAGTTCAAACAGATTGTCATTGTAATTGGGTGTGGTGCAAATGTAGGTAAACCCCATTAGGATTCCTATCAGGGATTGCCATGGCACCATCATAACAACATAGAGTTGTGACCCAGGCTTCTGCTTTTGAATTGCTTTTAGAAAAACAAAACAAGACAAATTAACATAGTCTTTTCTACACAGCATAGACATTGCATGAAGGTTAGCATACCTTTGAGAGATAAATAAGATTGCCAATTTCAGTCACATTTCTTGCCTTAACAGGACTCCGGATTAAGAAATATATGAATTAATCTCAATATACAGCATGCTGATTACCACAAAAATATTATATTGACTCATCTCCCATTAACTCTTTTCCTTTTTGAGAGAACTATCCCTTTAAAAATTATTAAGTATGTGCTCTCTTTTGAAACAATAGACAGGAAACACTCCCATAGCCTTTCTACACGTATCTACATGTAAACTAAAGCCAGTATGTGCTTCAAAACATAGACTTGTTTTGAGACTATTATGATCCACTTTATAAAAACCACTGACTCAGAGCTTGATGACCACAGTGGAGTTTCTATTTTTTACCTTTCATATGAATGAAGCTGCATCACAATGACCTACAAAAGATTTAGTTACGCCTCTCTGTCCCATCACACCCACGTTACCATTTACAGTGAACAGGAAGTATCTGAAAGTCCAAGATTGCTTTAAAGTAAAGGGGCCAGAATTTCTCAAGGGCTTTATATTTCCGCTGGTCAGACTGAGAAAACACTCATTTATGCACGCTAGTATGTGTCTGATAATATGCGTCTATAGCAGACCCATTCTGGCTGAACTCTGCTTTACAAATCTAATCTCTACCAGGAAATTATGTGCACTAACTCACCATCTCTCTATTAGTTCCCTCCCATAGGTCACTTCAATGCTGCGATGACGTCATCGCTTTGGGAACACCCACGGTGTGACGAATGTCTGAAGCCCTTATACCATCACACCAATTTATTGGCCAAATAGCGCCTAGCACCGCCCCTCACGCATATGTAACGTATGCTATATTAGCGTGCCGCGTGCTATTTCATCAGATTTCAATTCCTTCAGGAAGCGAATCATCTGTCGCCCGTTGGAAAGCGTTTTCGTCGTGTTCTCAGCTATTTCTTCAAAAGAAAAAGAGCAGTTTACTCCTCTCAGCGGACACGATGAGCCATAGGAAGTGCATCGAGCCGTGTGACAGGTTCATCACAGCAGGAGACACACATGACAGGTGCGTGCTATGCTTGGGCCGTAATCACGCTCAAGCTGCGCTTAGCGGCCTATCCAATTGTCAACACTGTGATAGCCTGTGGCTAAAAGTTTTGCGCTCGAGGCTCGCGGCCTTTTCGAAAGGCCTTACGTCTAACTCCCGCCAATCTGTTTCTGTGGTTGCCGAGGCGCCGCATGAGACGATCGCTTGGGGTGACGCATGCGAGTCAGAGCACATGGAGAACGTTGTAAACGTAGGAGTATTCGGAGTATTCTCCTTTCCTCTCGCTCTCGCCCGGCCATGTTCAAGAGCTCCAAAACCATTATGTCAAGCCGGTTGTCTTCATCAATGACGATTTGCGGCCTACCCTGGAGGCCCGTAATGCGGTTTCCTTCGGTTGTGAGCTGTATGATGGTGATGTGTTGTCCACCGCGGCCTCTGATTCAGAGGATTTAATGGCAGAATCCTGCAGTTCTCTCCCTCCGAGCGGACGGGAGAAACGCAATTCCCCGTCTTACAATGAGTTGTTAGATGTTATGACGCGCGCGGTGGGCAAGTTGGGATTAGACTGGGACTATGAGCCGATGCAAGACCAGGCCCAATCTAAATTGGACTCCATCCCAGCCCCGTAGGCCTCTTCCCTTCTTTCAGGACCTCCACCAAGAGGTTTCGAGGTCTTGGAAGCAGCCTTTTTCGGCGCGTATTACAAACGCCGCTGCCGCTGATTTTGCCACCGTGTCTAAAATGTCAGATCACGGTTACGGGGCAATGCCGGCCGTCGAAGAGACTCTCGCCACACACCTCGCGCCTAATTCAGCTCCATCTTGGAAGTCGCGCCCTACGTTGCCATCCAAGCCATGTAGGATCGCTTCCAGTTTAATCAGGAAATCGTACATGGCCGCTGGGCAGGCTGCGGCCACACTACATTCCATGGGTGTGCTTCAAGCCTATCAGGCAGAGCTTCTCAAGGAGCTGGATGAAGGGGAAGGCCTCACTCCCGAGGCTGTTAAGGAGCTCAGGAGAGCTGCAGATTTGGCGCTTAGAGCTACCAAATATACAGCTCGAGCAGTGGGTAGGTCCATGGCAGGTATGGTGTCAGTTGAGCGCCACCTTTGGCTCACTCTCACAGACATCAAAGAAAAGGACAAAACTTTTCTCTTGGATGCTCCCATTTCTAAAGACTGCCTATTTGGAGATTCAGTCACCACCGTGGTGGATAAGTTTTGGGCTGCAAAACAGCAGTCTGCCACTTTTCGCCAGCTCATTCTGCGTAGGCCCAGGGAAGCAGAGCGTCAACCACCAATGGTCCGTTCACGCTCATCCTCTCTACACCATCATCGGGAGGTTCAGCGTAGTGAACCATCACCTATGGCACCCCCTCGGAAGGATTGGGGTCCTAGGTCTCGTCCACCGGTTCGCTCGCGCCAACGCAAGCGGATAGACCTGAGTTCGACAGCCATGGCCTCTCGTTCTCAGGCTCCTAGCAGCAGTTCCTGATTCCCTCGCTCGTCTTCGGAGGCCAGGCCCTCCTTTGGAGAGTTTGGTCGGACCGCACAAGCGTATCCACCTCTCTCAATGTGGCCTCCCTGCTCAGATCTTGACCGTCCCGGTTTTAGATAGAGTCTTCATGGCAAGCACCTCCTCAGACACGCGCGTCCCAGCCTTCAGAGCTCGAGAAAAAGCCCAAGGGTCATGCGAGCATGGCTGGCCCGACAGGGCTCTTGGATGCCCATACTCCTCTATGCGGGAAACTCAGGCGAGATTTTTATCAACCCCGCCCATGCTACCTGTTCTCGCGGACGCCAGTGGCTTTCCGCAGTCAGATGTCTTGACACCTGTAGTTCGACCACTGCCGAACATAGAGCGTCTAAAACCTCTAGCAGATTTTTGGGCCGCGTGGAAATGCTTGCCCGACGTCTCGGAATGGGTACTACGCACCATTCGACACGGTTACACCATACAATTTCAGAAAGGGCAACCCCCTTTCAGCAGGATTCTTCCCACG